CCAAGCAGTCACTGCAGGGTCAGCAATGACTGAGTGCAGACAAAAAAAAAAAAAAGTAGGCGCTGAATAGATTTGCTTTCTGTCTCTCCCCCCAAACAGTAGATACACCTTAAATAGACTGCAGAAATCTGGATGGCCATTAGGTGGCAGGGAGCTTTGCCGTCATCAAGTGGCCATCTCCCTCGGTTATCGCAGCTCAGGTCAGTGGCAAGTTTGCGGACAAACAGCCGCCGCCGCCGTCCCTGAATCCTTCTCTCCCTTTGTTCTCAAGAGAACCCCGGGACCAGATGTGGGTTGCAAAAGTTGGGATGACATTAGAGGGCAGCATTGCTGGCCATTCCTGGTTAGGGTTTCTCGCAATGGCTTGTTTCTCCAGCCGCGTCTGTATCTCTTCTTAACATTTTGGTTATCAGAGGATTACTATACATCCACACTGGCTTCTTTAATTTTTAAAAGTGTGTTATCCTTTGTGATTTATTAGTCTGGCCTGATCCTGGAAATTGCAGGGAGGGTATTAATAATGTGGAGACATGCTCCTGTAAGACACGCTCACCTTCCTTTTCCCCTTTGCTAGGAAGCCTAGAGCGCCACGAAAGTGGGGAGATGGCCAGGGCAATCCTGGCTTCCTGTGAAGATGCCAGTCTTACAGTGGTTGACCCTCTTTGCGCAGCCTTGGAAGAAGATGCCCACCGAGAGAAAGGTCTGGGTGGCCAGTTGTCCAGCTCCTCTGTATCTGGCAATTTTTCCTGCAACAGACTCACTCATCCAAGCAGGTCTTTCCATCTTCAGGTAAATACACAAAAGGAAGCAACTGCTGGGTGTGTGAATGGGAGCTCAGTTCTTTTGCACTCCCTTTAAGGGTCTGCCCCCTTTTCTCCCCCCTGCCCCCTCTGATGGCTGTCCCGTCTTTGGAATGCCCAGTTCCAAGGACCTGAGAGCACCCCACTGAGAGGCTCCGGCCATGTGCGGGGCTTGTTCTACGTCACCATAGTGATGGGCCTCACCCATTCCACCTTGAGAATTATCTATTTATTTATTGTTGTATATATCAAATTTATATAGCCACCCATTTCACAGGAAGTGTCTCTGGGTGGCGTACAACAAGGTTATAAACCATAAACATAAAAAGCAGTCACCATTAAAAAAAAAATTTAAAAACAAGGCATAAAAGCGAATAGATGTTAACAGCAATAATGGAGCCATCTCAGGATCTCACCCTCCCCTGGGACCCCCAGGCCTGATGACATAATTTCCCAGGTCTTGGGCTTCCGGGAAAATCAGCAGGAATGGAGCTGACCTCTCTTTGGGGTGGGAGTGGGGAGAATGTTCTATAAGGTGGACACCATGGGACCCGCCAAGTGTCATTCCCCAACAGACGGGGCCTGCAGTGTGCCTCTTCTTCTGTATCTGATGGGACGGGCAGATGTACCTGGGGAGAGGCGGTCGCTCAGATAACCCGGCCCCACGTCACGAAGGGCTTTAAAGGTCAAAATCAGCACCTTGAATTGGACCTGGCAGCCAATGCAGCTCGGGGAGCAGAGGTGTGTCATGTGCTGTTCTAGAGGCACACAACACTGCCCACGCCACTGCCTTCTGCGCCGGCTGAAGCTTCTGGATACTCTTCAAGGGCAGCCCCACGTAGAGCGTGTTGCAGTAATCCAATGGAGAGGTGACTAGGGCATGAGTGACCATGAGCAGAGGCCCCGATCTAGGAACAGGGGCAAGTGGCACACAACCTCGAAGCTGTGCAAAGGCCCTCCTAGCCACCTGCTCTTCAAGCAGGAGTCATGAGTCCAGGACATTTGGACATTTTGAAAAAGGCACCCATTTTTATTGCCCAAGTGTTGAAAAACGGGCACTTTGCATGACAGTATACTTAGTAGCTACCTCATCCCCACAGACCTTTGTAGCCTCTCTACCTACTTGTGCAAGGTCAGGCATTTTCAAATGTGAGGGAGAATACTGCAGCTGCTCGTGCCTTTCTATTGGGGACCATGGACTAATTATATATATTTTTATTTATAGAGATGTACCCTGCATTTTTGGGACCCAGGTTTTTTTTCTTGTTGTGTTCTGTCAGTCATCCATAAATTTAGTGAAATGTTTTCAAAGGAAAATGAAGTACTCAGGAAGAAAAAGCAACAGCAGCCCTTAGTAAGGGTAGAGCAAGAAAGGTGTGCCTAGCCGACAAGGAAATGCAATTGGAAAGGCTCGCAGGCTGGAGCCATTGCTGCCACCAACTGTCCCGTGAGATCAGCCTGTGCAAGTGGTTCATATTTGTGTTACGCTTCCAGGGACCTCCCCTCTCCCCCTGCCTGCTAGGTTCAAAGAGCCCTCCTTGGGGTAGAGGAGGGAGGGTGAGAGGAAAGGGCTTTTTCAGGAAAGTGCGCATGATACCAGTGTGGGATTTTGCCAAGGGAGCAGACATCTGGGGCAGGGTTGAGGGAAGGAGCGCAGAAATCTTCAGGTTTTCCAGCCTTTCCAGTGTTGTTCTTTGTTTGTTCTAGTGGCCTGCCTGGTCTTGGAATGGCTGTGAGACTGAGAGCTAAGATTAAAATTTGCCTTGGAAACAAACTTCCTGTGGAACCAGATAATAAATCGAAATAAACCTGCATGTGGTTCCAATAGAAGATAATATATGTAGCTCAGGGTTGAACTGTTGGGTCCTTGGGGCTGTCTGGTAACTGGGTGGCATCATCAGTGTCAGTGAATGTGGGGCTTGCTCCCTGCTTATATACGGTGGCTTGCCCTGTCAGTTTTGGTGGGGGTGTGGTTTTCTCCTCGGCAGTTCCTTGATTAGGGTGTTGTTTTCTGCTTGCTGGTATTAATCTCTGTTTATCTGTGTTGGCTGCTGGAGAGGATGTGTTCTGGTCTTTTTGTTTCCTTCTTAGCTTTTTTATTGTCTCTTTTGAATAGTGTGTAAATATGGTTTATTTCTGTGTGTCTGTTGATGGCTGATCTGTCTGAATGCTGAGCTCCCAGGAATTCCCTGGTGTTTTTGGATTTGGCTTGACAGCTCCTAAGTAGGATGGAGGGCTGGCCTCCCCAGGAGAAGGTTCAATACCAGGCTGTCTTTGTTATTGTGAGCTGTATAAGGATGCTGGGTTGGATTGGGGCCAGGCAGATCCAGATTCATGTCCATCTCAATCAGTCAATCAATCCATCAATCGTTGCTGAAGAAAGGCGCACCCATTGAGAAGAACCATGTTTATTGCGATGATCCTTGGGTGCCTGCTTTCCAAGAAAGGGGGACCCTGAACAACAGAAAGCCATTGATTTTTATACACTTTGGGGTTCAGAGGTGGGAAATCCTTGGGATCTGATTCGCAGACAAGTTTTGGATAGGTGTTAAACAGGGGACAATTTTTTTTTATTGTGAAACAGAAAGTGTGCTTTTGTAACAAGGCAGCCGAGTCAAGGAATCCATGGTCAAGGAGAATGGAAGGTTAAGGAAAGCAGGCACCTCTGTGTGTGTGTGTATGTGAGAATACGAATGGAATTCCTGGGGGGGGTTCTAACTCCTCATTGAAACTGCCCCCTGGACAAATCCTTAAGCAGGCAGGTGATGGCCCTCTCCTTGCAACAGCCTGGGACTGGTCCTGTTTTGCATGTGTGGGGGGGGGGCAG